CAGGGCCACGCTCACTACCAGGCTCAGTATTAGTCCTGGGTCCCTCAGGCCGGCATCTACTGTTGTCTTTTTAAAATGCAGAACCTTTACTAAAAAAAGTGGTATTCCCATTGTTATGAATCTATTCAGTGGCCCAGCTGAATGGCACATTCTTCTTGGGCCACTTCTGTCTATTGGAGAACTCTGTGGTCTGCTGTCTGAGACAGATCTACTTGCAACAAGGCACCTGCCTGGTTAGGCATACTTCAACAGCCCCACTGAGTTGCTCTATTAGATCCTGACTTTCTTACAGGTTATTTCTCATGCTGTGTTATACAGTTTGGTTGCAAGATAGCCTTATTCCTAAGAATTCCACTAAAGAAAATTGTTCTACCAGGAATTGCATTTCATTCCTCTGGAAAGGTCCATCCTTTCCTTCAGTTCCCTTTCCTTGTTTCCTGCAGCACCTATCACAGCCCCTCCTTGCCGCCTCCTTCATCATTTGTGTCTTTAATTAAACTATAACCTCTGCACACGCAGGGACCATGTTTATTTTTTCAGAGATGTGTTTTCAATGCTAAAAGCAAAAGTGACACTTGACAAATATTTTTCAACCACACTGAAATGAGTTGGACAGACACCTGGGTATTCAGGGTGGCCAGAAGCATCCTGGGCTGCAAGTGTGACTAAAGATAGGGGAAGTCAGAAGTCATAGTGAGAAAGGCCAGTCAAGGAAAAAGATGCTGGCAAGTCTCAGAAAGTGCAAAGAGTGGAGGAGACGGAGTCGCTGGGACAACGGGACCCAAGCGAAGGCATCTGCTGGCTGTGTGACTTTGGTTAAGGTGCTTAACTGCCTTGTACATTCGTGTCCTCAACACTAAAATAAGGGATGATTATTTTACCTACTTTATAGGGTTAAGGATTAAATGAGTTAATATTTATAAAGCACTTAAAACAGTCCCTGGAATGAAATGAGCACAGATACGTGTCTGGGTTGAGAGAGGCATAAACACAAGTTCCCAAAGTGGGGGATAGTTCTAAGACAGACATTCCGAAGCAGGCTCCTGGCCTGGGCATTAGAATTAGTCGGACATGGGTTAGAGTCCCAGTTCAGGCGTTTACTAGCTGGGTGACCTTGAAGAAGTTGCTTGCATTCTGAGTCTTGTTTTTCATAACTGTGAAACTGGCTCAATCATAGCTGCCTCCCAGGGTTGTTAAGAGAGGTTTCCTTTAAGCCTTAAGAACAGTGCAGGACATCTTTTATGCACTTAATGTTAGCTCGTCTACCACCTCCTCCTCCCACCCCTCTTTCTTTCCCTCTCTATTCCTGGCCACTAACCTTCTGCCCAGAATTGGAAACATCTTCGAGGGAAGCAGAAGGAGAATGAGAGTCAGGGATTGTTTACAAAAAGGGTTTTTTATTAATAACAACAACAAAAAAGGCATGGAAATAATATAAGAACAACAAATCCAAGTCTACTCTGAAATGACTGGTCTCCCACTAGGACAAAGAGAAGCAGCAGTATTTTATGTTAATGAGGTTGGTGGACAATACAGCTTCAGTGAAATATTGGCTATGATTACTCTATCACCATTTCTCTGAATGCTTTGCTCATCTTTCCCTCTCTCTTTTAAGAAAATCTGAATGATTGTTTCTCAACAGACCAGAATTATATTTCTTTTTTTCCACTGAGAGTGTGAGAGGAACCCGGGGTGCAGCTTGAGCTGGTGAGCTCTCTGTCTTCATTCCAACAGGCGTGGACTCCAGCGTTCAGTTCAGGCCCCAGGGACTATCTTTTGAACAGAAACTGTTCTCAGTGAAACTTAAGCTCCATTGCAGGAGGGAGGGCAACACCACACTTTAGGAGGTGCAGGGAGGAGGGTAAGTTGTTTTGCTGATATATCCCTGGGGAAACTTCCAGTGTTTCTGGACATGGCTGAGTGCACAGCTCATAAAAAATGCACCAGATCATTGTGGGCATTTGATTTTAGAAGAAGCTACAGTACCAAAAGACAATGACCGACTGCTTCCCTGAGACATCCAGATGACACACCTGGTTTCCACTGTGCTCCTTCATCAGCCCAGATGTTCCTAGTTACTTGGACAGAGAGCCTTGAGAGCCCTTGTATACAGAGTGTTATATGTCTTCCCTCCAGTGGTGCATAAGAAATGGCAAAGCCAAACTAATAGTATTCTTCAATTTTGCAGAGAAGAGTGCTTCAATGCATGTGTTTCCAAATACATGTTGTTGTTGTTGTTTTCAATTTGTTTCACCAGTGCATTAAAATAGGAAAGTTAAGGGAAAGGAATTAACATCTGTTGGATGCCTGCTATGTTCCAGGCAATGACAGAGCCATTTTACAGGTAGTATTTAATGTCCTCCTCATTGTAACCCCATAAGGTATTCAGGTATGATTACTGCATGTCACAATGGGAAGCAGCCCAACATTCTCTAAAGAATAAGAGTCTCCACTTATCAACTGTTGAAATCTGAGTAATTCTTTAAACCCTCTGAGCTTCATATTATCTCTGTAAAACAAAGTTAATAATTGCGGCTAATAGGGTTGTGTAGAGGTGAAGGGAATTTCTCCCCCCCCTTTTAAATGTTCTAGTCTTTAAGTTTGATGAAATAAACAGGAAACCGGTTAACAGGAGAAAAGGCATACAAATTTATTAACAAGCAAGTGTGCATGGGATCCCCACAAAATATGAGACTCAATGAAGGGTATTAGAATTACTCAGACATGGGTTAAAATCCCAGCTCAGGCATTTACTAGCTGGGTGACCTTGAAGAAACCACTTACATTCTGAGCCTTGCTTTCCATAACTATAAAACTGGCTCAATCATAGCTGCCTCCCAGGATTGTTAAGAGAAGTTTCTTTTAAACCTTAAGAACAATGCAGGGCATCATTTATATACTTAATATTGGCTCATCTACCACCTCCGTTTTCTCTCTCTCTCTCTCTCTAAAGGTTCAAGTATTTAAGTTTGCTGAAATAACCTGGAAATAGATAAACAGTAGAAAATGCATAAATTTTATTAATGTGAAAGTGTGCATGGAATTCGTACAAATTATGAGACTCAAAGAAGAGCCAGATGGTTGAAGCCTAAATACCGTCTTCATGGGGAGAGGGAAGTGGGGGAGGCAGCCAATTGTAGCAGAAGAGTCAATGATTTGTAAGGGAGATGAGTGGGCCCAAAGAGCATAGACTAGCCTGGGAGAAAGTTCTGCTGGGCTCTAGGGGAGGTGGTGACAAGTTATGGGAAAGTGAGGGATAGAGCCCCACTTTGAACAAAGGTTGTCGAATTATGCAAATAAAGTCTCTTAGGTAACAGACCTTAGAAAAATAGTTGAAAGAACAGGTGAAAAGTTTGTCTAATCATAGCATTCTGGCTATGGAGACTTTTAATTTTCTTCTCTGCAATATGAGTTAATCTTCTCTGGTAAATGTAGATTCCAGGGAGGAGCTCCAAGACAATTGCATTACGTTCCTTCCAGATGAACTTCCTTCAGTCAGATAGAGGAACTTCAGAGAGCCCCTCCCTACACTTAGGAAGGGAAGGGGCAGGAGAAAGTCAGAGAAAGACATTGGATCTGAAGCTTCCTGCTTAGGCCTTTACGTCGTCTTGGTTCAAAGCACTCAGGGAGCCAAAGCGCCATATTTTGAAGTACGGTTTTCTGAGCCTTAACAGTTGCCACGAAGGCTGAATATGATGGTAACATAAAGGGTTAACATTTTTATTTGACCTAAGATGGTCAGTATTGAGAATTCCTCTTAAAAAAAAAAACAATTGAGTTTCAGGGAAGCTGAATAATTTGCCTGAAGACTCACAGCTGATAGGGAGTTCACCAAAACTCATACCCACCTCTGTCTGATTTCAAAGACTCTAAAACTACTTTTTACTTATAGTTACTTAGTACCTCACCCATCCCCTCACCATGCCCCACCCCGCTTCTCCCTCCATCCTGTGATAACTACACGCACACACCCATCTGGGAAGCAGGATCCTGGGAGGCCTATTTCAATGACATCAGAGACTGAGAGCACAGAAAGGCAGCTCAGGTGCTATCTGCATGGAAGCAGGAGCATGGTGTTGACAACTCTGGCTCTTACGCTGGAGTTTAGAACACGGCCAGTCACTGAAATCACAGGGCAGTGGCAAAACATTTGGCTATACCTTTAAAGGCTCAATTTGGTGCTCTCTCACTGAGACCACCATCTTGCTCATTGATTAAGCACTTGGACAGACTGATCACAAGTGTTCTAAGTCTCATTGTGTTCTGTTTATCATTGCTTTTATTAACACAGCACAAAAATGGAAGACACTTGTTCGTGAATGTGCAGGAATCTTTCCACAGACATGTAAACACAATCGGTGGGGGAGAGTTCTACTGCAGAGTTAAGCTGTTTTGATGGGATCATCTGTTTCCTAGCTGAAAGCAAGGCTTTAAGGAAGTGAAACCCAGGAAAGGTCAATTTTGGTGCAAATTACTTGTTATGTCAAAATCACAATATTTGGGGGAGAAGGGTAGTCTTCCCCAATCCAGAAAGTTGGAAGTTGGAAAAATAATTCAGAAAGGAAACGCCAAATAAACAACAGAGGTGGCTGCTCAATGAACCAGAGGACACGTGAGGACACCTGGTAGGATGTATTTGGTGAGCACAACCCAGGCAGGACAGGGCAGGGGACACGGTGGGGAAAGGCACTAGAGTTCATGCTGAAGACTTGTAAATGGAAATCAGTGTTGCTCAAGCACATTATCTACTCCGTTAATTCCCTGCCAAACAATGCCTGGTGGTGCTTACTGAATTTGATTTAATCCAAAACTCAGACCTGTTTCCTTGCTGTCAGATTAGCTAGGCATTTCTTCCAGCAATTCAAGGTGAAACTGCATATAAGTATGATTTCCATATTTGTTTACTTTGGTCCTTATTATAGAGGCAGGTTAAAAGCCATTTGGGGAATTAGCCAGCAGGAAGTGCTTATGAGTGTGCCACTCAGGCTGGGGAGACACAGGGACTGTCAAACTATCTCCATCCTAATGACAAAGTAGAGGAAGCCAGAAGCACAAGTCTCTTCCGTGCAAAGTGCAGGGCTTCCCTTGGGACCCAGCCTCCAACATACGATTGCCTCTTAGGAGATTCTAGAGGTTAGGCTAGGCTTGAGGCACTGTAGAGAAAAGGATTAGTTTATAGCCTTCCTATTCATACTTCACTGGTAACAGGGAAAGTAAAACGGATTCCTAACCTTCCAGCCCTAAGAAATGCTTTTAAGTGGTTAATTTTAATGAGCAACACAATGATGTACCTAGCATTCTTTCCTTCTTCAGGGGGTTCATTTAATGTAGTTGGGCGGTCTGCTTGTTTCACATGGAAGATGAATAACTATGACATCATTAAATTACATGTAAACTATGTGTTGTAAAATATTGGGGTGCCAGAAGTGAAAAATTCAGGTCCCATTAACAGTTATAACAAGTCAACTTCGTCTCGTTATTCTATGATGAGTTCGGTGAAGAAAATCTTCAGTCTGGAGTAGGCAGGGAAGTAGTCACAGAGAGGTGAGATCTGAGCTGTGCCTTGAGCATTGCTGAGATTTGAATGGGTGGAAAAGAGAAGGGAGAGAATTCTGGTCAAAAGCAAGATGTGTTAAAAAAAAAAAAAAAAAAAAAAAAAAACAAATTACCTGGATGAGATGGCACTTGGGGAAGAGTAAGACTGTGGTATGGTTGGATTTATTGAACAGGCACAATGTCGGGAACTGAGCTGGCTCTTTTGTATACCTTGTGTATTATCCTGCAAAGTAATGGTAATAACGGGTACCATGCACTGAGAGTTTATATGGGTAGCAGGCAATGTATGAGATGCTCAGGATGCAGAGAAGGATGAGGCCCAGTGTTTGCCCTTGAGACTTCGAAATGTAAATCATAGATAAAGTAACAAAAACAACTTTATCTGGTACAATAGGGATGTATACACTTTACCAAGGAAACGTGGAGAAAAGAACCATTTGCATTTCTGTTAGAATCAGGAATGGTTTCTCAGAGATAGTGAGTCTTGACCTGGGTGATGAAGGATGTATAAGAGTTTGCTAGATGAAAAGATGGAAGAGGCATTCCAGGGAGAGGAAACAGCAAGTTCAAATTTATGGTATAGTCCTAAATTATGTTTCTCTTTATTTCAGCTAGTGCTGTTTCAATGTTGCTGGAGATAATGCACATTTGGATTCTGTGTTACATATTTTAATCTTGCCAACTTGCTTTGTTTGCAGACCATAATTTCATAGTTTATCTCTACAGTGGTTTTCCAGCCAAATTACTCCACTAAAATAACTCTAGAAATATATCACCTCTGTTTTCTGCTGCTGTCACTGGCTGTTTGTGTCCTTACCATTGAGCCAACCTTAGTGGAGACTGGAAAGAGAAATAAAAATTTCTCCAGAAAGAGAACACGGACCCCTCTCTTCAGCAGCAGAGTGTGGGTGGACTGGGAACATTATCACATTATCCTCCCCAGATATCGTGTGAATCCACAGACACTGTGTGAATCCACAGACACCATGTGAATCCATAGTGGCAAGCAGGAGAGGAAAATATTTGGCCTTTACAGAACATCATTAGGAGGACGGGCCATTGTACAGCATCTATTGTTAAAGTCAGTATCTATGATCATGACCATAATCTTCCATTCCTTTAGCACATTCATTTTCTGAGAGGCATTTTACATGTACTATTCTCTGTGAGGCAAACATGGGTAAGTATAATCCCATTTTATAGGAGGGAAAACTGAGTAAGGGAAATGCTTACTGATGGATGGATAGAAAAATGAAATGACTTTGGTTTGTAGAAATTTTGAACATCTATTACATTTTAGCTATTATGTTAAGGAAATGACTTATGGTTATAAATAAAACACATACAGTTACATGTCTCTGTTCATATTTTTTTCTGTCCTTAAGATTCCTCTTGCCCCATCCCTCTGGATTAACTCAACTAGCCTCATTTTATCTTAAGGACCAACCCAAATGTCACCTCCTCTCTGTAGCTTGGCTTGACTGTCCCTGACCTCTCTGTAAACACAACGATTACTCTACCATATTGGTTTTCAGAGAATTCTATCCCACATTCTGTTCTACTCATTTCTTTCTTCACTTGATCGGGACTGAGTCAGGCCCTCTTTCTTTCCTTTTCTTCATATATCCAGACTGCTATAACAAAATAACTTAGCATAGGCAAGGACAATTAAAGACCGTGTCTTCCTTCCTGTCCCCTGAAAAAACCTAGTGTTTCTCAAACTTATTACTTTATAGGACTCGTTATATGTGAAAACCCATCAACGTCCCACATAATGAGCAAACTTGAACACATTTTGGAACATGCTGCCTTTCAAGTCAGTATTCACATTAAGAATGCAGGCATACCACAGAGAGATTGCGAGTTCCATTCCAGGAAAGTCAGTGTTGCAATGAAGCAAGTCACATGAACTGTTTTGTTTCCCAATGCAGTTGAAAGTTATTTTTACACTATTCTGTAGTATATTAAGTTTGCAATAGCATTATGTCTAAAAATACAATGTACATAGCTTAATTAAAAATACTTCATTGCTAAATAATGCTAATTATCAAATGACCCTTCAGAGAGTCATAATCCTTTTGCTGATGAAGGGTCTTGCCTTGTTGTTGATGGCTCTTGACTGATCATGGTGGTGATTGCTGAACTTTTGGGTGGCTGTGGCAGTTTCTTAAAATAAGACAACAGTGAAGTTTGCCACATTGATTGACTCTTTCCTTCATGAAAGATTTCTCCGTAGCATGCAATGCTGTTTGATAGCATTTTATCCACAATTGAACTTCTTTAAAAATTGCAGCGAATTCTTTCAAACACTGCTACTGCATTATCAACTAAGTTTATGTAATATTGTAAATCTTTTGTGGTCATTTCAACAATGTCCACAGCATCTTCACCAGCAGTAGTTTCCCTCGAAAGAAATCATTGCTCATCCACAAGGAGCAGTTCCTCATCCATTAAAATTTTATCATGAGATTGCAGCAATTTGGTCTCATCATCGGGCTCCAATTCTAATTCTAGTTCTCTTGCTATTTTCGCTACATCTGCAGTTATTTCCTCCACCAAAGTCGTTCACCCCTCAAAGTCCTCCATGAAAGTTGGAATCAACTTCTGCCAAACTCCTGGTAATGTTGATATTTTGACCTGCTCCAATAAATCATGAATGTTCTTAATGAAATCTAGAATGGTGAATCATTTCCAGAAGGTTTTCAATGTACTTTGCTCATATCCATCAGAAGAATCAATATCTATGGCAGCTATAGGCTTATGAAATGTATTTTTTAAATAATAAGACTTGAAAGTCGAAATTACTCCTTTATCCATGAGCTGCAGACTGGATATTGTGTCAGCAGGCATGAAAACAACATTAAACTCCTGGCACATCTCCATCAGAGATCTTGGGTGATGAGGTACATTGTCAATGAGCAGTAATATTTTGAAAGGTATGTTTTTACTGAGCAGTAGGTCTCAACAGTGGACTTAAAATATTCAGTAAACCACGCTGTAATTATGTATGTTGTCATCCAGGATTTGTTACTTTATTTATACAGCACAGGCAGAGTAGATTTAGCATAATTCTTAAGGGCCCTAGGATTTTTGGAATGGTAAATGAGCAATGTCTTCAACTTAAAGTCATCAGCTACAGTCACCCCTAACAAGAGAGTCAGCTTGTCACTTGAAGCTTCGAAACCAGGCATTGACTTCTCTCTAGCTATGAAAGTGCAACATGGCATCTTCTTCCAATATAAGGCTGTTTAACGTACACTGAAAGTATGTTGTTTAGTGTAGCTACCTTCATCCGTGATCTTAGCTAGATTTTCTGCATAACTCACTGCAACTTCTTCTTCAGTACTTGCAGCTTCACTTTGCACCTTTAAGTTACGGAAATGGCTTATTTTCTTAAACCTTATGGACCAACCTCTCCTGGTTTTCAACTTTCCTTCTGCAGGTTCCTCAACCTCTTTCAGCCTTCATAGACTTGAAGAGAGTTAGAACATTGCTCTGGATGAGGCTTTGGCTTAAGAGAATGTTGTGGCTGGTTTGATCTTCTATCTAGACCCCTAAAACTTTCTCCATATCAGCAATAAGGCTGTTTCACTTTCTTATCATCTGTGTGTTCACTGGAGTAGCACTTTTAATTTCCTTCGAGAACTTTTCTTTTGCATTTACAACTTGGCTGTTTGGCACAAGAGGCCTAGCTTTTAGCCTATCTCAGCTTTTGACATAGAATCCTTACTAAACTTAATCATTTCTAGCTTTTGATTTAAAGTGAGAAAATGCGACTCTTCCTTTCACTTGAACATTGAGAAGCCATTGTAAGGTTATTAATTGATCCAATATCAATATTATTGTGTTTCAGGGAACAGGGAAGCTCAAGGTGCATGAAAGAGATTGGGAAACAGCTGGTTGGTGGAGCTGTGAGAAAGCACACAACATTTATTAAGTTTGCCATCTTATACGGGTGCGATTCATGGCACCTCAAAACAATTGAAATAGTTGCATCAAAGATCACTGATCATAGATCACCATAACCAACATAGTAACAATGGAAAAGTTTGAAATATTCCAAGAATTACCAAAACGTGGCACTGAGACATGAAGCGAGCTCATGCTGTTGGAAAAATTGTTTGGAGAGACTTGCTCGACATACAGTTGCCACAAACCTTCAATTTGTAAAAAAATGCAGTACCTACAAAGTGCAATAAAGCAAAGCACAATAAAATGATGTTTGCCTGTAGTTTTAAAGTTTTATATAAAATCTATAGCTAAATAGGTTGTTACTCTGAGGCTCCTTTGTACTCAGAGTGGGCCTTTGTGTAAACTAGGTAAACGTGTTCATGCTGGGGGCTTCCAGAACAATTGGCATCCCTGAGGACAGGGCTGGAGAAAGGAGCACCCTGCTCTGCGAGGCCTGAAGCTTACACAGTGTGTGTGTGTGTGTGTGTGTGTGTGTGTGTGTGTGTGTGTGAAAAATAATTCAACA